ATCTAAAGGAAGGAAAATACTTAACTCTCCTTTTTTGAAGTTCTGTAATCGGATAAAAGTACTCTATAAGTAGCCCCGGGTCTCTAACTACCTGCACACAAAATTTCATGGAAATCTGTTCAGTAGTTTTGCGTGAATCTTTAATACACAGACAGACAAAAATTCTAAAAACCACTAATATGGATTCAGTACCCTTCGTTGTCGTGTAGTGGCGGTAGAGAATATCCATTACACCATATCTTCCCGTGGGTGTCGTAACAGGCGACAGAGGGAGACAAGCAGGAGATGGGCAGCAGCATCTTCCTGATAACAACTGTGTATAATAAAAAACTGCGGTTGCCAACCCGCTCGCCAAGCGTGGCAACTATGGCAAATATCCCCCCATGAATAACGACGCAAACAGACGGCCCCCAGTCTCCGGTGGCCCCGCTATTCCTGGCTACGGTGGCGACGATGGTAACGGCGGGGCAGTTGGTGCTAAGAAACTCCGGTGGAAGTTCGGTTGCAACCTACGACGACTCGACCTGGAAACATATAACGCACGCACCCTGAGGACTGACGAGAAGATACTGGAGTTGGAAGATGAGGTAGACAAGTTGCGCTGGCATATTATTGGATTATCCGAAGTCCGAAGAGAGGGTGAGGACACGGCAATCCTCGAGTCCGGCAACTTGTTCTATCACCGGGAGGGCGAACATCTGTCCCAAAGAGGTGTCGGATTTATCGTCCACAAGTCTCTCGTCAACGACGTTGTAAAGATTGGGAGTGTGTCGACGAGGGTCGCGTACCTAATACTCAGAATAACCAAACGGTATTCGCTGAAGGTCATACAGGTTTACGCACCAACCTCGGCACATACCGATGAGGAGGTGGAGGAAATGTATGAAGATATTTCCAGAGCCATGCATTCCTCCAAAACCCACAACACGGTGTTGATGGGAGACTTCAACGCAAAACTAGGCACAAGAGAAAGCGGTGAGCTGAAGGTAGGGAAATTTGGAGTAGGGCAACGGAACCGAAGGGGCCAGCTTTATGGAGCCGACTTTATGGAGAAAGAGGGACTCTTTATGATGAACTCTTTCTTCCAGAAGCGGCCCCACAGGAAGTGGACCTGGTCGAGCCCCGATGGTTCGACAAAAAATGAGATTGACTTTATTATGACGACCAGACGCCAACTGTTAAGTGATTTCTCAGTGATCGCAAGGGTGAAGACTGGCAGCGATCACCGAATGGTTAGAGGCACACTGAACCTAAACGTTAAGTTGGAGAGGTCTCGTCTAATGAAAACAACGCTCCGTCCCCCTCATGCTCTAATCCAGAATCCCGAAACCTTTCAGCTCAAGTTTCGTAACCGTTTTCAGTGCCTAGAGGATTGCAATGCAGTGGACGATATGAATGACAAGCTCGTGGAAACTGCCCATGCGGTCGGAGCTAAGTTCTGAAAGACCCGCCGCAGAAGAACACAAAACTCTCCGATCACACTCTTAATCTCATGGCTGTTAGATGGGAGATGAGGCTGCAATCGTCAACAGATTTGACAGTATACAGGATACTGAACAGACAGATCTCCAAATGCATGCGGCGAGACTTACGCAACTTTAATACTGCTCGTATTAAAGAAGCGATCGAGCGGAACCAGGGCCCCAAAGTCTTTGCCAGAGATCTGTCTGCTAGAAAGAGCCAACTGTCAAAGCTGAAGACTCAGTGTGGCAAAATCGTTTCCGGGACACCTGAGATTCTGAGTGAGATTGAGAGGTTCTATGGGCAGCTGTACACATCATCGTTGGAGCCACACGCAAGTGTGAGTAATGATCCAAGAGCAAGTCTTATCTGACATTATTCCGATGATATCCCGGACGTCAGTCTGAGCGAGATTAGAATGGCTCTCCACAACCTTAAAAACGGCAAGGCCCCGGGCGAGGATGGAATTACAGCGGAGCTTCTGAAAGCGGGTAGAACACCGGTACTTGAAGTCATTCAGAAGCTCTTCAATTCCATCCTCTATGGTGGCACTACTCCGGAGGCGTCGAGCAGAAGCACGGTGGTCTTGTTCCTTAAGAAAGGCGACAACGCTCTCTTGAAGAAATACAGACCGATTTCCATTATGAGCCGCGTCTACATGCTATTTTCGAGAGTCATTACGAATCTTCCAGCCTCCCGAACAAGCCGGTTTCCGAAAAGGCTTCAGTACCATAGACCACATACATACCCTGCGGCACATTGTACAAAAGACCGAAGAGTACAATCTGCCACTTTGCCTGGCATATGTGGACTATGAGAAAGCCTTTGATTCCGTCGAAATTTGGGCGGTGCTACAGTCCCTTCAGCGGTGCCAAGTTGACTGTCGGTATATCGAAGAGCAGAAGTGTTTGTACAGTAAGGCTACGATGGCTATCCGAGTACAGAATCAGAGCTCGAAACCTATCCAACTGCAGAGAGGTGTAAGACAGGGTGACGTGATATCCCCGAAACTCTTCACCGTTGCATTGGAAGACGTTTTCAAGATACTGGACTGGAAAGGATAAGGTATTAACATCAATGGCGAGTACATAACTCACCTTCGATTTGCCGACGATATAGTCCTTATGACAGAATCGCTGGAGGACCTTAGCACTATGCTCAATGACCTCAATGGTGTCTCCCAACGGATAGGTCTTAAGATGAACATGGACAAAACAAAGATCATGTTTAATGTCCATGTCTCACCTATGCCGGTAGTTGTTGGGAGCACTATGCTCGAAGCTGTTGACGAGTACGTTTACCTGGGACAAATAGTCCGACTAGGTAAGTTCAACTTTGACCGAGAGGTGAATGAAAGCTTAAGACTTGGTAATAGAGAAACTAATATTTTCTGGGACTTTGTAGTAAAAGCGAATAAATTGCTTCAAGAATGAATTATGGATACTGGAGTCCTAATGTTTATACAATGTCAATCACATTTTATTATATCTACGTTTACTTTAGTGAATATATATTAAATTTTCGTAAATATGCTGTAAGGTTAATTAAGTTATTAAATATGTTTATTTTTTTTTAAATATTTCTCTGAGAAACTCTCTTCTGCAAGGAGAGCCTCTTAGTGAGCCTTCTTAGTGGACTTCTTAATGTATTCGTTAATGTATTGTCAATAATTACATCTATTCATTTTATATTTTTTTATATTATTGTTAACATCAGGATTAATAAAGGAACGCTTTGGTGGCTGGCCATGTAGAAATAATGAGTGAGGAAAGCAAATTTATGTTGCAGCAGTGATCGGCTGAGTCGGCAGGGGTCATCCGAGGCGTAAGTTTGTCGACCAAACTGGCGATATATTAAAGATGGGCAAAATTTAAGAGTACCCTAAGCATGTATGCGTAGTTAAATCGACATAAAGGAGGCGAGAGAGGTATGTCAGGATCGTGCCAAATGGCGGTCCGTAGTATCTGCCTGCCCTTCTGTGTGACAGGCGACGAGTGTTTATGTTATTTGTTATATAAACATAAATAGCCTTCTTAAGTTATTTTTAGACGTTACCTTTCCGTAACCTAAATGCAAGGGTTTTTTTTTTTTTTTTGAAGTTTTATCCATATAGAGAAGAAAAGAGCTGTTAAATATGGGAATGTACATATACACTACCACTTTTATAGTTTTTAAGTTACCGATAAATTTTTTACATTTTAATTTTGCAGCCAACCTATAGGAAATAATAAATTCAAAACAGGTGTGTTTCCTGACGGATTGAAACTAAAGTCAGTGTAAGAGCACTTGAGTCAGGAGTAGTTCCAAAAAACCTGATCACGTTTATGGGTCGCACTTCAGCGAAACATGTTTCCAGTGACATTGCTGAACTCTTCGCTAAGTGAGTGGTTTTCCACAGCCACCTGAAAAGTTAATATGACGTTAGCGACTTTTTGACGACTCAGTAGCGCAGCAACAAGGTACACGCAATTGACCAAAAAAAAATTTTTAATCATCATCACGTGACCATTTCTGAACATAGACGACCCCCAAGGAACGCAACAAAGCACAGATCTGAGCTATCTGCATGTATCGACTTCCTGAATCTCTTATCAGGTCGTCATTTTATCTATTTTATGTTTTGTATATATAAAACACGGGAAAATCCTAGTGTTGGCAAGGTGCCTTCTCAAGTTCTCCATAGAAAAATTGCCATAAGGTTCAAAAATCATAAAAAAGGTAAAACCCCTTGGTTTTCAATGTGTGAAAACTTGATATATCCGTTGTTGCTTGTGCGGCAGGTACTCGCATAGGCATTTTCCTATCGGAAAAGGTGCCTTAAGATTTATAAAAAACTTTTGACATTGATCACGATATTACTACCATCAGTAGGTTTATAAGGCAAATATACGCTTAGGCATTTTCCTATTGGAAAAAGTATTAAGCTAAACAAGTGGTAAAACATTTGTATAACCGACTTCAAATGAGAACATCATCTATGTAGTAAAAGTCAATTGACTTCGACTACACTTCTCAGTTTTACTGATCACATGAAAAGTACCAGCTTTCAAATAAAGAAAGAATAATCGAAATCAGTTCACTTAGAAAAAAGTTCTGAAGTAAAAATACAGTCAAATTAAGAACCTCCTCTATTTTTGAAGTTGGTTGAAAATATTATGGTTATGTCACAATATTATTACAAATGTCTATTTGTTAAGTCTATCATGTTTTGTCTTGAGGCTTCTTGGTAAAAAAACGAGTGAACAGTTTTTAATGAAGGTGTAAATAAACCAAACTAAACAAAAAATGGAAAGTATAAGACAGAACAAAAGTCAAGTTACAAAAGAGAAAATGACATGGACGGGGATAAGAAAATTAAGTTTCCACTAAATTAATTTAAAATTCAATATATAGCATAAAATTTTAATAAATTTAAATAACTGTTTGAAATAGCAATGACAAGTTCCAAGTGTGTTTTCACCAACTCATTTACTGTTTAGAAAGCCAGTTTACATGCCACTAGAAAAAACGAAGTAAAATAAAGTTTGATTAAATTTTACCTTCTCCATACAGAACAAGGGGTTTGTCGGAGTCGTTCTTCATGTAATTCGCAATAAATATAAGATCATCTTCTCTGCCGTGGAATACTTTAACAGAGTTATTGCACGCATGTAAATGTTGTAGGATCTCCGTAACAATTTGGCCTTGAGCACTACTGTCATCCTTACGCATTGCTCTGCAGTTTGTAAGAAAGTATTATAATATAAGAAAGATTTATTACGTGGTAGAGCCACGCTGCAGTTATATAAGTAGTATAGTTGTAGCACGAATGGGTCGGCTCGACCGGAGAAGGACTACGCTTTCACAGAATACCAGCGTAAAATAGTAGCTTAATGCTGCTGTGTTTCATAATGGTGAGTGTAGAGAACCGGATATCCTTTTTACTGGAAACGAGGCATTCCATCTTGATCCTCACGGGTGACAATACATCTTAATTTTGATTCATAATCGAGGATAAATGTAGATTTCTATGGGCCACAGCAACCACGTACCATCAGGTGGACTGCGTGCTCGTTTGTCACCCTATCCCAATGCTATAAAAATATATTTAAAATTTGAATAAGGACACGACCAGAATATTAGCGGTGCGGTTATATGATTCTTTAATATCATTCCATAAAAAATCATTGTTTGAGATGGCCTCTCCCGGTGTAAGCAGGATCTCTGCCTTAATCGCAACGTCTGGCAGATTGATTTTAACGATTGTGGTATACCAGTTTTGCGCACCTTTGAAGCTCTTCTCTTTACCAGTCAGGGTATAATACGTATTTTTATTTTTTATTTTTATATAAAAAATAATAGTAATCTTATTAATTAACATTACTAATATTCCCCTTAACCACTTTTCTTGTGTTAGGGGTGGTTCACGACAGTAATATGTTGTCACGTATGGTTATATCACTGCAACATAATGTTGAAGCAGATTCATTTTGTTGGTATATTGCATTAGTATAAAACCATTTGAAAAATCAGAAAGTGCACGCCTCATAAGCGTTTTATTTAACGTTGATAAAAAAATAAATTGTACTCCTGACATTCAAAATATATTATTTACGTGATTTAAATTTAGCGTTCTATCATTTAAACTGGTAGTGTTACCTACAGGAAAAAATTAATAATGTTTACCAAAGTAAATCGACTAAACAAAGTATAAAATCAATATAGGATGTATGTTACATTTATCCTTTGTCTATCAAGATCTAAAACAATATAAAAGCGCCTTTAAATTTTTAATAGCAATAAAACTTATAAAAGTTGAAAATCATTTTATTAACAAACTACGCATACTAGTCTATTGATATGAAATCGGGAAGCATTTGATGTAATTCTGAAGCTAATAAAAAGGCCCGGTCACGATACGTCAATTTTTTCGTTAGTTATTCGTGACCACATACAAAATCAACATCCAGGCGTCCACGAATTTTTTTTCAGGCTGTTTATTTTTTAAAAGTAGAAATATAAAATAATTTTTTGGAAAATGTAAGATGGATTATTCAGAAAGTTTTCTTGATATACGGCTACTCATATTATCGTATAAGTGCAACGTGATTATGATAGAGGCATTTTAAGAACACAAAATTTCTTGACCTTAACACGTCAAGAGTAAAGCTTGATAACGCATCGAGTTATGAGGCGTGCAATATTCTGATTTTTCATATTGCAGGCCATGGAGTGGCTTACGTTCAGTAGTTGACTTGTGATGGACTGTAATGGTGAAGATGATGACGAGGATTTTATATAAGCGATATGATACAACAAATAAAAATACACATAGTGTCTTAAATATCTTTTAATAATAAAATGCTAATTTATAGTATTTAGATTGTGTTTACATAGAGTTGTATGTAAACACAATCTAAATACAATCGAGTTGAGTACGACCTACCCCTGATTGTAAGAGGGTCGCGCAGTAAATCAGTGTTGTGAGCGACCTTTTGTTGGTTGTACTGTAGCGTAGGGTGCTATTTTTGTTAAACCTTGTTTTAATTTAATACTAATAACTCTTTTTTAAAGGTAATTTATGCATATATTTTCCTCTCTCTAAATATTAATAATATGGATTTTCTGTACTGCTTTCATATAATAATAATAGTATTATTTTATTGAAACAGATATGAAAGCGACTTAGCAATTTCTCATTCATTACGGATTATCAATCTATTGCTGAAATGAAATGAATAAAGTGAAATTAAATGAAATTATTTTTTTAATGAATGTAATGAAATGAAATGAATAATTTTATTAAACATTCAATATACATTACTGATTACTGTATAATAATACCAATAATACTTATTGAAAGTCATTTTTTTTAATTATCACTGGTTCGCAAAAATAACCTCTGTCCTGGGAATATCCAGCAAGAAACCCAGCGGGACATTTTTCAATTTACAATAAATTTATTTTATACAATTTTTGTATCAATTTTTATAGAACCAGCATGGTGGCGATCACTTCATTCCCAGGGGTTATTTTCATTTATGTATTCATTTATATTATAATAACCCTTTTTATACAAATTTTCTTTAATAAAAGGTTTAAATTTGTTTAATAAACATAGGCCTTCCTATATTTTTTACAGAATATGAATGACATACGAGCACTCATCACACATTCAACATCTTAATGGACACTTACATAAATCTTCGATTACGAATCAAAATACAGATTCCTTGTCAACCCGAGTATTAAGATGGAATGCCTTGTTTTCAGTAAAAAGGGATCTCCGGTTTTCAACACTCACCACTTAAGAAACAGCAGCATTAAGCTGTTATTTTACGCTGGTATTCTGTGAGAGAGTGGTCCAATCCCAGACGCGCCAACCTATTCGTGCTACAACTATAATACAGAAACGGTTCGAAACCCGCATTTAACAAGTATTTGCAGCGCCTACAAATAATAATTGTTCCGGGTCTGGATGTTTGCTCCTGTAAAATTTATATGTAAACTGCCCCCACGATACAGAAGACAATCTTAATGTGGATATTACGTTTTTTTACAAAAGAGGAAAAAGAGATGCCGCGGTCAAAAATTGCATTATTTCTTAAATTCAAACGAACCTGTCAACTAGCTTGATAATATTTTTGTAGAAGTGTGATATAAAGTGGTTGAGATATTCTCCATGAGTTTCCGTGTCAAGTCCAACGCGACCAATCCATTCAACAGTATACCTAAAAAAGATGGTTTATTATTAAATTTGTTAATCTATACATCTATATAATTAAATAAAATTGAAATGTCGGTTTGTAATGACAAAATAATAGCTTTTTATTAAATAAATATGAACGTATATACGGTACTTATAACAAAAGAAAAAAAATTTTTTAAACTTTTGTCTCTCAATCTGTGTGCTTCGACAAATCTCTAACTTTCACTGGCGGATAGCTAATGTTATAGGGAGTAATGTAGGCTACTTTTATTTAAGAAAAATAATTAGGGTTCCGCGCAAAACAAATGAAGCTCATGAGATCCAATCATAATAAATTCCACGCGGATGAAGATAAAGAGATAAGAATAATACGATCATTACTTATGTCTTACGTTCTTTTGTTACGTTTTTTTAACTATACATTTCAATTCATAATTCAACAACCCAAAATAAAGTGGCATTTGTTGCATTGCTCGAAGTTGTTGACGAATACGTTTACCTGGGACAAATAGTCCGACTAGGTAAGTCCAACTTCGACCGAGAGGTCAATCGACGGATTCAACTCGGCTGGGCAGCGTTCGGGAAATTACGGCATATCTTTTCGTCAGGTATACCTCAATCTCTAAAAACTAGATTGTACAACCAGTGCGTGTTGCCAGTGATGACTTACGGATCTGAGACGTGGTCCTTCACTGCTGGCCGTATGAGGACGCTTAAGGTCGCTCAGCGAGCTATGGAGAGGGCTATGCTCGGAGTTTCTCTGCGTGATAGACTCAGAAATGAGGATATCCGCAGTAAAACCAGAGTGACCGACATAGCCCAACGGATTAGTAAGCTGAAGTGGCAATGGGCCGGCCATATAGCTCGAAGAACCGATAACCGATGGGGAAGAAAGGTTCTCGAGTGGCAGCCTCGTACCGGTAGGCGTAGTGTAGGGCGACCCCCCACTAGATGGAGTGACGACCTGGTAAGACATGCAGGAAGTCGATGGATGCAGGTGGCTCAGGACCGTGCTTTGTGGCATTACTTGGGGGAGGCCTATGTTCAGCAGTGGACTTGTGAAGGGCTGTAATGATGATGATGATGATGATGTTGCATAAGGAGGAGTATGCAAGTGAATTTAGAGAGCTAGTTGTAAACAAGATGATAGAGATGGGTGATATGGAAGGAATGAGTGTGAATGTGTGCTGGAAGGAAATGGCTGATTGTATCCGAAGTGTGGCAAGGAAGGTGTTAGGAGAAACAAAAGGGAAGCGTATGATAGATAAGGATGGGTGGTGGTGGAGTGAAAGTATTAGAGAAGTTTTGAGAGAAAAGAAAAATGCCTTTAAAGAATGGCAGAGCGTAGAAGACCAGAATGATTCCATAAAAGAAAGTAAGAGAGGGGCGTATAAAGAATGTAAGATGAGAGCAAAGAAGGAAGTTGCTATTTGTAGGGCAGAGGCGCAAGATAAATTATATCGGTCCCTTGAAAGCCCCGAAGGTCAAAAACGACTTTTTCAAATTGCAAAAGCGAGAGAAAGGAATGGAAGAGATGTTTCACATGTAAAATGTATAAAAGATGATTCTGGAAGGATTTTGACTGACGATGAAAGTATAAAGAAGCGATGGAAGGAGTATTTTGAGAAATTGATGAATGAGGAGAATGAATGTAATGGTATGCTTGAAAACCCACCAGTGAATATGGGCTTAGTGAGAGAAATTTGTGTGGAAGAAGTAAAAATGGCTGTTAGGAATATGAAGAATGGGAAGGCGGTCGGCCCAGATGGAATACCAGTAAAAGTGTGGAAGTTGCTGAATGCGGATGGATGGAAGTGGTTGAGTTTATTTTTCGGTAAATTGTTGCAGGAAGAACAAATACCTGAGGAATGGTGCAGTAGTATAGTGGTCCCCATTTTTAAAAACAAAGGAGACGTTCAAAACTGCAGCAGTTACCGAGGAATAAAACTCATGTCACATACGATGAAAGTCTGGGAAAGAATAATAGAGAAAAGAATAAGAGAAGAGTGTGAGATAACACAAAACCAGTTCGGATTCATGCCCGGTCGAGGTACGACAGATGCCATTTTCGCATTACGCCAATTGTGCGAAAAGTACAAGCGCGTGCATAAAAATCTGCACATGGTTTTTGTCGACCTTGAAAAGGCGTACGATCGGGTTCCCCGTGAGGTTTTGTGGTAGGCGTTAAAGATGAAAGGTATGCCTGGGAAGTATGTGAGGTTAGTTCGTGCTATGTACAGAGCATCCCGTACATGTGTACGATCTGCCGCGGGAACTACGGGCAGTATCGATGTGGCGGTAGGGCTGCACCAAGGGTCGGCATTGAGCCCTTACCTATTCCTACTGATTATGGACGCTTTGACGTCGGACCTGCAGGATGAGGCACCCTGGTGCATGCTCTTTGCCGATGACATCGTGCTTGTCGGGGAAGAAGGCATCGAGGTACAGAGCAGACTGACGGGGTGGCAACAGAGGCTGGAAAGTGTTGGCTTGAAGATCAGCAGATCCAAAACCGAATATCTGTGCTGTGATTTCGGCGGTCTTTCCAGTCCTGTACCCATGTCGTTGGATGGCGCTATACCGCCTACCTGCTCAGATTTCAAGTACCTCGGTTCCCTCATTCAAGGCGACGGCGGAATAGATATAGCTGTGCAGCATAGGATTAACGCAGGGTGGATGAAATGGCGACAGGTCACAGCCACAACGTGCGATCCCCGAATGCCAATAAGGCTGAAGGGGAAAATTTACAAATCGAACATCCGACCTGTCGTCATGTATGGAAGTGAATGCTGAGACGTCAAGAAGAAAGATGAAAATAGACTGCATGCGAATGAAATGAGAATGTTACGATGGATGTGTGGTGTGACAAGGATGGATAAGATAAGGAATGAGTATATAAGAGGAAGCCTGAAAGTAGCGCCAGTGGTAGAAAAGGTGAGAGGAAGCAGATTGGCATGGTTTGGGCATGTGATGCGGAGGGATGAAAGTCATGTCACAAAACGAGTGTTGAATATGAATGTGGAGGGACACACGGGCAGAGGAAGGCCGAATAAAAGATGGATCGATTGTGTGAAGAGTGATATGAGAATGAAAGGAGTAAGTATGGAAATAACGGCTGATAGAGAGGAATGGAACAAGAAGATTTACTGCGCCGACCCCAGATAATGGGAAATGGTTTAGAGAATGATGATATTTCAATTCATAATTTGTAACACCATTAGGTTTTATGTTATTCCTTAATTAGCGAATTTTGAAATTTATTGTCACCAGCAGTAGTGTTGACATGACTAAGGAACCTTGTGAATAACTAATGATCTTTTTGGTTCCATTCCCTACTTTACTTCCCCATAAAAGACCAGCAACGCACCTGTTGTCTTGAGTAAGCTGTCAATTAACCATCAGTTGAGCCTAGCCCATTTCCTAAATACATATTGAAATATTTATTTCAGTATGGACATATACCTCATACATCTGCAAAAAAGTTTTGTGTATTTTTTATGAAACCAAGATAGAACAAGCTGTGGTAATAAATATGAGAAGTGTACAAGAAATCGTACCTTGGCGGGATATGACGTCATGGTTAAACAGTCAGTGAATAAAACAACTAATTTAAAATTTACATTAGAAAAATAATATAAAAAATTATTCGTCTATTAAAATGCTCAGCATGATATGGTGTTCCCAATTAAACACAAAAGAGATTTTAAGCTGACTTTTTACTACTTACTTCTGTATGTTTGTTGTTTCAATTTTCTCTGGTAGCCTCACATCTCTTAGATCAGCCAATAGTTTGGAAGCTTCTGCATCTAAGCTCCTGTTAAGAATGTCCACGAAGTTGCCGGCTTTCTTTAGGTTCTGAAGGTTTATATTGTTGATGTACCGAACGTAAGCGAGACAATGATTTTTTGTGTTCTTAACGTTAAGAATTCCGTTGATAACTTCACGTTCAGTTACTGAAAGGATTAAACAATATCGGATAATTAAACGTCGTCGCTGGGGTGTAAGAGAAACTACTAATAACTACGTGGTAGAGCTACGCTGCAGCTATTATGGTTGTAGCATGAATGGGTCGGCTCGACCGGAGAAGCACACTCAGACAGAATTCCAGCGTAAAATAACAGCTTAATGGAGCTGTGTTTTGTATGCATGCATCTTAGTCCTCAATGGCGACAATTCATCCGCATTTTGATCCTTAATCGAGGTTAAATGTAAATGTCTATGGGTCACAGCATCCATTTACCATCAGGTGGACTATGTGCTCGTTTGTCACCCTTATCCTATAAAAAAACAACTAATATGTTGCCCAATGATTAACGAAATAAAGGGAAACGAAACATGAGTTAAGCAGCAGTACTTTACTAATATGAACTAAAAAATAACAAAAACTACAGTTGACCGTAATTAGCAGTAGCCTTTAATAATAAAAAAACTGCTGTTGCCAATCCGCCCGTCAACTTAAATTATCTCTATATAATCTTCTGAACATAATACAAAAGTACAAGCACTGCTATTTCGCACATAGATTTATTTGTCTCGCCAAATAGAAGAGCTTCCACTGCAGCGTTAAGCTTGAAAGAGTTAAGTAAGCCAGTATAATAACAAGGTGTGCGACGTTCGATCTTAGTCCTCAATGGTGGCTTCGTATTTCTCGTGTCCATGGGCTGCAGTAGCCACTCGCCATCAGGTGGAACGCAAGTTCGTTTGTCACCTCAGTTTTAATACAAGGTAGGGAGGGAGGTTCGGGGAATAAATAACATGTCTTGTGATCTTGACCGTAGATTTCATACCAACTTAATTGATCTATTGTACATTCACATGAGCATACATTACACGCTCCTCGAAAAATAAAGAAAGAGAAATATTTGATTGTGAAAAAAAAAAACTAGAACTACAACTACAATAAAAAAATAATGCTGCCAATCACTTGTTTGTAAAGTTTAGAGTTTACCGTTTTGGGTTGAATTCGAAAATTTTGAATTATCAGTTAGTTCCAGTTTCTGGGCTTCCGTAAATCAGCAGAGTGCACATATTGAAGTACAGCTGACATTTGCCGAAAAAGTTGCTATTATAATTTCTTGTTAACATACCAAGTCATTACATGAAATATTAGTGACCTGTAAATGGTGTAGCAGCCAGACTAATCAACCCTAAACGGGAATAAATAATATATACTCTGCTGCTACCATAACGCGGAAGGCGAGGATAAAAAAACATTTATTTCCTAACTATCCTTGGCTACTGAGATACTGCGATACTGCGGACTGCATATAGATAATTTGATGTTCTTATAAAGAAACAAGATGCAGCCGCAAATATCATTCAGCGCCACATCGCTACACCGTCGACCAATGGTGAGCCATTTCTTCAACGCCGCAGTTCATTTCTTCTCGCTGTTCCGGAGCTGTATTCCACGCCGCCGCCGCTCACCGACTACGCGCGCGCACCGATCTGCAAGTCTTTTATAGCCCGGTCCAGTGACGTAGCTTCGTGAACAAGAAAACAAGTCTCACGCCGGGAAACGAAACGTAGATAATAGTTGTATATTTTGAATAATTTTCATTGGTCATAATATAAGCATTATAATTGGCTAGATCAAATAAAAATTGTTACCATTGGCAAATCAATTGTGAGCCAGCCATATAAATATAGGCAAGGTTGATGCAAATATATTCCATTCCATTCCACATTCATTCCATATTCATACTTCAATCGGACTTACATAAACAGTCGTTTCATTTCTCCACCTTAAAACCACTCGGAGTCTGTTAATAGTGGACCGTCCATCTCCACTATTACAGTGGTGACCCCGTACGAACACCGAGGGGGAAGATCCGGTACGAACACCAAGAAGGAACACCCTGCGACGTACCACTACTATTACACGAACACCGCGAAGGAAACCCGTGGCGAACACCGAGAAGGAAGACTTCAGTATATATAAAATCAGTGTAATCAAGCCGTCATTATGGAGCAAAAGGCGAACACATATACATCAATTGTCGAGGAAATTCGAAAGTTATCACACGAAGTCGCTGCACTCAAGGCTTTCCAGCATCACACAAATTACCAGCAACAGTACAACCAGCGCAATCAGCAACAACGAAGACTACTTTTTCGTCGCAACCGCTCTGCAAGTAGAAGTCGAATAAGCTCAGCATCAAGATCCCCTTACTGCTACTATCATCGACGTTTCGGGTTCGACGCAAGAAAATGCACAGAACCGTGTACATTCAAAAATGAAAATTCGAAGGCGCTCGAATTAACTAATACGCTCAATGCGATGGGATCAAGCGTAACAGCAAAGTCCTACCGTCTTTTCGTCACGATAAAAAAAGCAAGCTTACTTTCCTTATCGACACCGGAGCAAATATCTCAGTGTTACCGCCGAAGCAAGGACAGAAGTTGAAGCCACTGGATTTTCAACTCTGTGCAGCAAACAATACGGTGATTCCTACATATGGAGAAAAAACAATGGAACTTGATTTAAATCTACGCCGACCATTCAAATGGAGATTTATCGTCGCTAAAGTCAGCAAACCAATCATCGGTGCTGATTTTCTTCAACATCACCAGTTAATCGTCGACATCAAAAATAGAAGAATCATCGACGGGAAAACCAATCTTGCATCTCAGTCTTTTGTCCAAGCAACCAATCTGCCCACAATAAGAAGCATAGATGAGCAACAACCGTATCACAAGATCCTCGAAGAATACCCTGGTATCACAAGAATAACTTCAATGAAATTAACACCAAAGAACGACGTTGAGTATTTCATCGAAACTAATGGACCACCACTTCATTGCCGTGCACGTCCAATCGCACCACACCTATACGAGCAAGTTCGAAAGGAATTCGAAAACATGATTGAGCAAGGAATATGCCGTCCAAGCAAAAGCCCTTGGTCATCACCACTTCATATTGTACCGAAGAAGAACGGAGAATTACGAGTTTGTGGAGATTACAGAAGACTGAATTCTATTACCACTCCTGACCGCTACCCAATACCGCGAGTCAGGGATTTCACTCATCAACTATCAGACAAGACTATATTCTCCACCATCGATCTCAACCGAGCTTACCAACAAATAAGAGTACGCGATGAGGACATAGAGAAGACAGCAATAATTACCCCAATGGGATTATTCGAATTCCCAAGAATGATCCCAGGATTAAAGAACGGAGGTAAAACTTTCCAAAGATTCATACACGAAGTACTTCATGGACTGGATTTCGTTTTCGCATTTATTGATGATCTCCTCGTTGCAAGCCCTGATAAAGAAACGCACGAAACACATCTACGCACCGTGCTAAAGCGATTAGAAGACAACGGAATCACAATCAACCCTTCGAAATGCATATTTGGACAGCAAGAAGTTCAATTTCTTGGTTTCACCGTCAGCAAGGAAGGAATAAAACCGCCTGCCGAAAAAGTCAGAGCAATCATCGATTATGCAAAGCCTAAAACTATGGAAGAGCTAAGGCGTTTTCTTGGGATGATAAATTTTTACAGAGAACACATACCTAAAGCCGCGGAAATCCAAGCACCACTTCACGCCTACCTTCACAACATGAAGAAAAAAGATAAAACGTCAATTGAATGGAACGATGAAGCCACGAAGGCATTTGAAGATTGTAAAGTTGCTATCCAAAATGCAGCTTTACTCGCTCACCTATCACACGAAGCAACCCTTGCTATCTTCAGCGATGCCACCGATCTCTCAGCAGGAGCCGTTCTCCAACAATACAGCAATGGGAAATGGCAACCACTTGGCTATTTTTCGAAGAAGTTCTCCGATACTCAACGTAACTACATTCGACCGAGAGCTACTCGCTATTTACATGGCGATCAAGCACTTCAGAAAAACGTTCGAGGGTCGAAACCTGATCGTTTTTACCGACCACAAGCCATTAACATACGTACTTCCAAAGAAACCATCACTATCGGAAACACCACGAAGAGCAAGACAACTTATTTTCATAAGTGAATTCACGACCGACATACGTCATATCAGTGAAAAGGACAACATAGTCGCCGACGCACTCAGCCGCATATCAATCGACAGCGTAACGTGCCCTACATCAATCGACTATCATAAGATCGCCGCAGCACAAGACAGAGATAGTGACAACATAAAACATCTATCGAAGCAAGGTAACTTGTCAATCAAGCAAGTTACAATGCCAATGACGCATCTACCTATATACTGTGAAGCCTCAACGACAACCATGCGACCATACCTACCAGAAGAATGTCGTCGCGAAGTCTTCAATGCACTGCATAACATCAATCATCCAGGTAGAACAACAAGAAAACTCATCACTGAAAAATTCTTTTGGCCTTCAATGCAAGTGGATGTTGGCAACTGGGCGAAGCAATGCATTCAATGCCAAAAATGCAAAGCACAAAGGCATACATCAAGTAGCCTAGCTACATTTACACCCACGGAGAGATTCGAACACCTGCACGTTGACATCGTTGGACCATTGTCTACTTCACCGCAAGGACATCGTTATCTCGTAACAATGATCGACAGAACAACAAAATGGCCAGAAGCAATACCTACCGATGATACTTCAGCCGAATCCGTCGCGAAGATAATTTATGAAAATTGGATTACTCGTTTCGTACCACCTAAAACCATCACAACGGATCAAGGAAGAAACTTCGAAAGCAACCTATTCCTCAAACTTCTTCAAACTATGGGAATACAGAAGACACGTACAACAGCATACCATCCCCAGTCAAACGGAATAATCGAACGATGGCATCGTACATTAAAGACCGCACTCAAAACTCGTTTATCTCAACATACAAAGTGGATTGATGAGCTCCCTACAGTGCTACTCGGACTACGAGCAACACCGCGTGCAGACACTAGTCTTAGCGCCGCTCAGCTAACCTACGGCTGCAGCATAAGACTGCCGTGTGACTTCTTCAGTTCAGCAGCGTCAAACAAACAAGAAATGGATTACGATTTCGTAACTCAACTTCGAGAATCAATCAACAAAGCCTTATCGTCGAAATGCACCGAAATGCAATCACACAGAAATAATAAATCAGTATTCATTCACCAAGATTTGAAAACATGCAAGCAAGTTTTTGTAAGAAACGACGCAATGAAAAAACAATTTCAACCTGCCTACGATGGACCGTATAAGGTATTAGAGAGAAATAGCAAGACTTTTAAACTACAAATACCCGGAAGGAAATCTACGATTATTTCGATCGACCGACTAAAGCCTGCCTATATTATTAACGAGGATACTTCAAAGGATTCATCATCATCATCATCAAAACCACCAGCGAGGAAGCTTGAAACTCCATCATCTACATCAACCCAGTTGAAACCTATTTTAAAAACTACGAGATACGGGCGAGTCGTCAAGCCTCCGGTACGCTTTCGCTAGGGGGAGAGTGATGTAGCAGCCAGACTAATAAACCCTAAACAGGAATAAATAATATATACTCTGCTGCTACCATAACGCGGAAGGCAAGGATAAAAAAACATTTATTTCCTAACTATCCTTGGATACTGAGATACTGCGATACTGCGGTCTGCATATAGATAATTTGACGTTCTTATAAAGAAACAAGAAGCAGCCGCAAATATCTTTCAGCGCCACATCGACTTCACACGCCGCTATCGTCACGTATCCGTCGACCAATGGTGAGCCGTTTCTTCAACGCCGCAGTTCGTTTCTTCTCGCTGTTCCGGAGCTGTATTCCACGCCGCCGCCGCTCACCGACTACGCGCGCGCATTTTTTTTTTGCGCCCGAAGCAAATATGGGCAACCCTCCGGAAAGCGGGGGAGGGAGGTTGAGAATGCTCATAGCATACCACGCAGCCGGCTGCGTGGTTATGTGGAGACTTTTACCCACTAAACTCAACCTTTTGGGAATTGGCTTAACGATCTGACTAGAGATCTCTAAGCCGTATACGAACGCGACCCTCCTTGGCAGAAAGGAGGGCGCAACGCGCGCGCACCGATCTGCATGTCTTTTATAGCCCGGTCCAGCGACATAGCTTCGTGAACAAGAAAACAAGTCTCACGCCGGGAAACGAAACGTAGATAATAGTTGTGTATTTTGAGTAATTTTCATTGGTCATAATATAAGCATTATAATTGGCTAGATAAAATAAAAATTGTTACCATTGGCAAATCAATTGTGAGCCAGCCATATAAATATAGGCAAGGTTGATGCAAATATATTCCATTCCATTCCACATTCATTCCATATTCATACTTCAATCGGACTTACATAAACGGTCGTTTCATTTCTCCACCTTAAAACCACTCCGAGTCTGTTAATAGTGGACCGTCCATCTCCACTATTACAATGGTATTACAACCATTACTAAACAATTTGGTCCTTCGAGCCTAATATGGTATATCAAACTATGGAGCTTACTATTTAATAAATAATATTATGTCATAATTAATAATATTACCCGACATAAAATAGTTGTGCATGGTATCCTTATCATTTTGCCAGTGTTGTATAACTGCTGTGAAGCTTTGCGGAATAGTTTTTGCATATTGTATTGAACCGTAGTGTTGTTTATTTGTTGTATGAATTCTTATTAATTTATTTAAGACTACATACTTATACAATATAGTAGAGGGTCATCCTATTAAGCTTAAAAGAAAACCTGTGTCAGAAGTCCCCACTCGGCCTTATCTACAACTTCTCTTCTCTCATCTTATTTAGGATAGTATTTAATTACAATATTGTTAGAAATTAAACGATTTACATTGTGCGTGAGGTGTGTGTGTGTGTGTGTGTGTGTGTGTGTGTGTGTGTGTTTGTGTGTGTGTGTATGTGTGTGTGTGTGTATGTGCGTGCGTGCGTGCGTGCGTGCGTGAGTGCGTGCGTGCGTGCGTGCGTGCGTGCTTGCGTACGTGCGTGCGTGCTTGCGTGCATCTGTTTGTAATGTCAAAATAATAGCTTTCTACTGAATGCATATGAAAGATGATACGGTACGTATAAGAAAAACAAGTTTCGTCTGTCTGTCGATTTGTTCCGGCTGATCTCCGATATGACTGTACCGATTTTGTCAGGATTTTCACTGGCAGATCACTGGCTACTTTAATTTTAGAAAAAGAAAAAAGAGTTCCGAAAATTAGGTAAATAATTAATAAAAACCTTCACTCACGAAATCCAATTGTAATAAATACATAGGGGCGAATTTGCAGCGAACAGCTAGTGGTTAATAAAAGTTGAAAACTAATTTCTTTGTTCATGCATACAGATTTATAATAATAATGTAAATATATAAAAATATACAAATATAAATATAATGCCACAATTAAAGGGTATTATGGTGATGGAGCTAAGGGAGTTCTTTACGCTGCTTTATTTTGGATTCAGTTTGACATCATGTCTTATTATTATGTTTCTGGGACCTGCCAGTAGTTGTAATCGAATTCAAGCTATCAAAGTGCAATTAAATTCGAATTGAGCACAACGACCTTGATTTATAGCCAGTACTCTTTAATTTTCGTTAAATTATTGCACAATTGTGACTAATTCTGACGCACACTAATATTAAATTACATTGCTTGGATTATTAAAAACGTACTATATTAGGAAATGTAGTTTCTCCTGAACATATGAACGAAATCTTGTTAATATATCTTTGTGCTAACGTATTTTTCTACTTACCAATTTAATTCGATTTCAATATCGTCATTAATTTTGAAATACTTAAGCCAATTTATGTGTTTGAGGTTTTGTTGAATGTTATTAATTCCACGTAGTGTAAGTTATAGATATAAGCATATATTGTTTAATTATCCCAAAACTAGATGAAACTACACAAGAGTTATTGGGGATAACAGCTTATTACATTTTAGTAAGTAAATAAGAGGAGAGCTTAAAATTTGCCGAATTAAAACCTTGGCGCATCTATATTTTCATAATCATTACCTATTTAAAGTTCACTTCTGTACAGGGGGCTCTTCTACTGCAGGGTGAATATAAAGTCACGCTTGGCAGGTGGGTTGACGACCGCAATACCATACGTAAGCACCTTTGATACTGCTGGACAGCGCCGTTCTGCATATAATATACATCTGGTGAAGACTAGGAAACAACACATAACGCCATCTGTCGGAAGCTATGCGATACTTGTGGTATTAATAATGGTCGCTTCTTACGACACCCGCGGGACGAAATGGGCTGATGGATTATTATTTTACGCTGACCCACGGCTCCACATTCTCTCTATTTGTAATTTTAACATTTTAAATGTACCTCTCTATGTTCAACACAAATCAAATATGTTTAAGGTAAGAAGAGTAAGAAATTGATTGAAGATGAGAAAGATCTCTCTACTTTCTGTTCCTCTAAGAATATAATAGGCTTACCTTGGTAACGAAGGTTGGCGATCAGTGAGCACACTAAATTAATTAAGATTTCGTTCTTCAATTTAAAGTACGGGTTAGCGGACTTCGTATGCTCTCGAAATATTTTTATTCCTCAGACATGCAGGTTTTCTCATAATCTTATAATTTACCCACGAGCACCTGGTGAATCATAAGAACTCCATAATAATACATTACCAGATTTTTTGCTCGGGGGCGTCTATATGTATTACATATATGTATTGTATTATATTAAAGTTCATAAAAAGTCCACAGTTGAACACAGGCTTTCTAAATAGAGAAACATATATACCAGAGCGGCCATTTTGAAAAGTGGATCGATTGCATTTTTTTAAAATAATATTTGAGTTGTTTCAATTTCCGTTTCTTGCCTGTTACATGGCAGCACTGAAAATTTCGGGAATCAAGGAAGTGACACAACATTACTCTTTAAAAATGTATTTATTGCTTTTCGAAGTATTCTCCGCGAAATTTGACACATTTTTCCATACGATGGAACCAATCATTGAAGCAACCATTCCATTCGGAAGTTGGGGTCTCCAAAATGGCCGTTTTGTAGGAGTCCACAGCTTCTTCAGGTGATGAAAATCTCTGTCCACGCAATTTATTCTTTATTTTAGGGAAAGTATAGAGATCATTAGGGCTTAGATCGGGGCTGTACGGCGGATGGTCTAATAATTCTATGTTTTCTTTCTCTAAAAACTTTTTTGTTCTGTGTGCGGTGTGAGAACTCGCATTGTCGTGATGGAGGATGATGCGGTGGTTGCAGTTCTCTTTACGGAGTTCAGAAACGACCTGTGGCAAACAAATGCTAGCATACCATTTTGCATTATCCTTTCTTTGTCCTTCAAGAGGAATAGTCGTAACATGGCCGGTTTTATAGACAAAGGTGGCCACCATTTTTTTTGCAACACTCCGTGAACGAAGAATTTTTGTTGGATTTAACTCATTTTCGAACACCCAAACTCGTGACAGGTTTTTTGTTTCGGGTTCGTACGCATATGTCCAGGATTCGTCACCTGATACGAAGTTGTATACAGCATTTGAGGATCCTGCGTAGAATCTTTCGATAGTTCTGACGCACTAAGTAACGCGAGTCGCTTTTTGCTCTTCAAAAACAACTTTTTTACACCTAATTGTTCATGCAAGATTATTTGTATTTGACTCGTGCCAATGTCTAAAGTTGCCTGAATTTCGCGGTATGTCACATGTTGATCTTCCTCAATCAGCTTACGCACAGCATCAACGTTTTCTTGGATGACTGCAGTTTTGAACAACCTTGACGGGGATCATCACTGAGCTTGACACGTCCACGTTGAAATTCAGCAAACCAGCGGTAAATTGTGGTTTTGGATGGGGCTTCATCACCAAATGCAGAAATCATCCGGTCAACACACTGTTTTTGTGTTAAACCACTTTGAAAATCATAATAAATCATTGCTCTTGAATTTTCTCGAGTCAATTCCATTTTCTCAACGACTAAACAGGTTTGACAAAACCTTGTGACAAGACCGAGAATCTTTTTTTAAATAAATAAATGGTATTCGATTTTTAAAACCAAGGAGTTTTCAATTCAAAAGATTTTAATATGACAAGAACAGTGGAAATATTTCATTCCCGATACTTTTAGTGCAGCCTAGGTAATATTACAGGGTAGTGGATTCCCTTACGCCGACACTACACGGCTTATTGAAATAGGATACAAAGATAGACGCGGGTAAATTATTCCACTCCTCACGACCAGAGAGCACATAAAGAACTTCATTTACGCATGAATAACTACAAAGCAAACACTTTTTATTATATATTTATCCCATTTGTCTTAACTGGCTAAAATAAGGAATAAATAATATGTAAAACAGAAAAATCTTTTGATGAGTAACTTACGTTAACTTCAATAGCCTAAGTATTAAGACTGTGGAAAATATAACTCCAATCAAAACCTATCGGATGGAATATGTTAGCGCAGACAAACATTTTGGTTTTAGGACACAGCAGTCAGTTAGTAATGGAACAGATTGCATGGAGCCGGTTTTTGTTTTAGGATTTACATACGTGGATAACGTCAGAAATGGAAATGTGAACCGAATGCAAAGCTTTCGTATCGCAAACATTTGTCTTTATTGATTAAAATGTTATAAAATGAACTGAAGACGAACTAAGATGACCGCGTAGTCTAGTGTTGATAGCACCCGGCTGCCTCTATAGCGTGGCAAGTCTTGTGTACAAATTGTGCTTTTTGCGTTTATGAATACATTTATCTCCGGTTTGGAACCATCAAATTTTTTGATATAACTTTAACTTTCCTACTATTTTAGGTCTAATTGCATTAGAAGCATTTTTACGTGGTAGACACATATTGTGGTTGCTGCACGAATGGTTTGGCTCAACCGGGGTAGGACCACGCTCTCACAATACCACAATACTTAGAATACAAGCGTAAAATAGCAGCTTAATGGTGGTGTGTTTCGTATGGTGAGTATAGAGAATCGGAGACCCTTTTTACTGGAAATGAGGTATTCTACCTAGATCCTCAGGGCTGGATACGCATCCGCATTTTAAATTTAATTGAAGATTATTTTAGATGTCTATGAGTTACAGATCCACTTAACATCAGTTGGACTGTCTGCTCGTTTGTCACCTTTATACTATAAAAAGGCATGTAATTGTGGCATCAGCATGTTAGAACACGTCCATCAAATAGTTCTTTAATGATACTGTGTATCGTATGGTAAGTGTCGTGAACCGGAGACCGGACTGTGTGCTCATTTGTCACTTTTATTCTACCTATATATTATATTTAAAAAAAAAAGTTGTTCCATCTGGATTTTAATCCGCAGTTCGGCGCAGCAAAGCGGGCCGAGTGCTTTACTAATCCAATAGCGAACCATCAGGCAGCACTGCACGCTCTGTTAAGAAGAGCTTGCGTAATTACAAGTTGTGTGGAACTACAAGCATTTTATTACAAAGCAGCTACTTTATATATAGTTTGCATTCCTGTACGTTGAATAAAGAGATGACCGTGGCAAAGTTAAAGTTTGCTTAAGCCAAAACTAACGTACATCTAAAGACTTTATTATTGAATT